AGTGTTTCTAAAAAGACGAGTAGAGGGCTGTCTGCTTCAGAATCACCTGCAGTGCTTATTTAAATTTAGATTCCCCAGGCCCACCCAATACCCTTTGTTAGGCATTGAAAAATATATGTTGTAAATTCTACTGTGTCTGTGGTTATACTCCCATTTGGGAATTCTCAGCCATGTGAATGAGACAATAGTGGTGTAAGGTGTGTCTTGAGTCAACGTCTTTTGAAATATAAAAGCAGCAGATTAAGCAAAGCAGCCAAGAAGCACAGTTAGGGGGAAGACAGATCCCATGTCACATGAAGATCACCAAGGAGCCAAGGAACATTAGGCCTACAAATGCTGAAAAGAGACAAGGATCTTCACCTAGAGCCAACAGAGAAAGAATATCTTCCCATAGAACCACCACCCTAAATTCAGACTTCTAGCTCCTAAACAGTGAGAAAATATATTTCTGTTTGTTAAAGTCACCCGCTTGTAGTATTTCTTTAATAGCGGCAAAACTAAGATACCCACTTATTCAGAACTACTGGAATTTAGAAATCTGAATTTTAATAAAACTCTGGAAGATTCTTATTAATGCTAGCAATAGAGAACCACTTCTTAATGACTGCTGATGCCAGAGTTAGCCAGGCAAGTTAGTTTAACCCCAAGAGAGGCAGCGGGTGCATTTTCTGATTATGTCACTACAACCAACACTCCCTAATCTACCTTCTAGATATTTCCAGAACCATCTTTTAATAAGACATTGATCAAAAGCCTTTCCCAAACATCAATGTTTTTAAAAATAAAATGAAGATACGATGGAAAAACTAACATTAAAGAAATCCTAGAGGAAAAGTTAAAGGTGTGCTTTGGACTAAGGGGAACCTGATAATATCAACAGATTGGAGATCAAAACACTTGGACTCTTCCAATTTTGAGGAAAGAGAGGACCTGTTGAAGGAAATGATGTAATACTTTGGAAGAATGTTCTCTGTGGAGCTTGGACAACTGAAAGACACCCTAGGTTTCAAAGCTCAGTTTCTTTCTACTCTCTAACAGAAGTCCCGACATTCTTGAAGGACTGCCCCATCCCATTCGCATGTGGCTGTACTT